TGGGTTACCTCTTGAATACCAAAAGACTTCACTTTACACCACAATAAGCTCTCCACAAGGCTTACTTTCCAAACCCACTTCAAGATTATACCAAAAGATCATAAAGATCCTACCTTTAAGAAAAAGACAACTAAGATGGAACCAAAAACACAAGATGAACTTAGATCTTACCCTCCTAGATGCCCAAATAGGTGAAAGGTTGAATCTTGGAAGCAAATCTTGGAATCTTGACAAGGGTCTCAACTTGGCTTGGAGAATAAGCTACACTTCTTTTCTAGAGAGAAGGTAGAACTAATTTCTAAGAATTGTAGGGAATGAAATGAAGAAGTCTTCAAGGTTAGGTGACAATACTAACTCTTGGTGAAAAGACAAGAATACCCTTACTAACCCTTAGAAAGTGTAAGGAACAAGGGAACTCCCTTCAAAGCACAAGGTACAACACAACTTAAAGGTTGACTAGTCAAATTCTAGTCCTTGAGTATTAAAAATCAGGATTTTAGGAATTAATTCCTCAAATAAAATAGGATTATTAACTCAATTAATCCATGGATTGAATGTGGATTTTTTGGGGTGTCACACTTTACCATTTCTACATGGAAAAAATTAGACCCAATTCTCTAAATGAAATTTCTTTTCGTAAGCCCGCCCGATTTCCTCCAACTCCAAATGTCTAACCCTAACCCTTTATATGCTCGTTACCATTCCCCCCTACACCATAACTCTCTCTCTCTATCTAAGAACCAAAATCCTCACTCTTAATCCTCCATTTCCATTTCCTATATTTACATGTTTCACATTTTCTATACGAAAAACAAATAGGCCCAATTCTCTAAATCGAATTTGTTTTCGTTGGGCCTCCCAATTTTCTCCAAGTCCTAATGTCTAATCCTAACCCTTTATATGTTCTTTACCAATTCCACCCACTACCTCTCTCTCTCCCTCTCTAAACACCGAAATCCTTTGTATCAAGTCTCATCTCACTTTAATCTTCTCTCCCGCCCTCAATCACTTTTGACTCTTGCCTCTCGATTGAAAAACAAGGTGTCTATACATCTATCAACCCGATCTCTTCCATTGTAATCGAACTCCTTAGATTGAGAAGGTAATCTCTAGCCTCATCTCCTTTACTAGCTATAAGGCATGAATTTTTTTCTGAAAAGTGTAGATCTATGTTTTCCATTTAGACTACAAAAAAATTGTTTTCTTTGTAAAGAAATTGAAATTGGGAAAACATTTTCATTTCAAACATATTTTATTGAATACATTTTTTATATTTCCTAAATTTTGCTTACTTAATACGCTCGAATTTGCATGTTTTTCGGCAATTAAAAGTGAAAAAAATATGTAAACCAATACCAAACTTCAAATTGCTTTTGGATTATTTTTTAAAAATTTTCTCTGATCTCTCTCTCTCTCTCTCTCTCTCTCTATATATATATATATATATAGGGTCAGGTTCCTGTGAGGTCAGGTCTTCCCGTGCGGTCAGTGCGGTATACACCATTAGGTATGCATAAATGAACCACACAGTGTTCGTAAATACACCATTATGTGTGGTGTATTTTTTGGCATTTCATTCTGGTGTATTTTCGAACACTGTATGGTGCATTTATGCATACCTAATGGTGTATGCCGCACTGACCGCACGAGAGGACCTGACCTCACAGGAACCAATATATACATATATATATATATATATATATATATATATATATATATATATATATATATATATATATATATATATATATATGTATATATATATGTATGTATGTATGTATGTATGTATGTATGTATGTATGTATGTGTGTATAATATGGTTAAATCTACTTATTTTTTAATTTATAAAATATGAAATTAATTGGTGTTAGTGTTTTAATTGCTCAAAAAGAACCCCAACTTATAATTGACAATATTATTATGGCATACTAAGATAGGAATAGTGTCGGTCTGTTCTACAGCGGACTGATCAATCAGGTACAACAACAGAAGGACTGACACTGAAGATCTGTTTTAGGAAGCTGGTTACTGAAAAGCTGTACGCGGTTTTTACAAAAGACAGATTTGGAAAGAAGATCAGCGTATATGTCTTGGGAAGGTATGGACCGAATCTTTAAGATTACATTCTTCAAATATTTTCCTACCATCTACAATCAAGGATATCTATGTAGAGAGTGTTCTGGTTATGGAACTATAAGTACTCTTATTCGACGAGAATTAGGGTTACGCTTTTAAAGAGAGAAGAAACACTCCTTATCAGTTTTATGAGATCAGATCTTTGATTACTATGCCTCTTCTTAATACTACATGTTCATGGTGATTAAGATGAAGAACTTGAGAAGAATCACTGCTGCTTAAACGAAAGGACACTACGATCACACTGTTGTGGGAACAACCGTAAAGAACGTCATTGAAGTGGACTACATCAGAGTTGGTTCTCCAAGTGAAGGGATTTCATTAGACTTCTGTATGCATGGCTCTCCACCTTCAAGAATCCACTAAACCTGTGTAGACTGGTCAGTCCATTTCATTAGTTGGTTAATCCAGTTAATCTGATTAAAATGATGAAATGCAAAATTACATGTGGTATAGACCTTTTAAGTCTACATAGTTACTTGATCCGTACAGGTTTTTAGTTTTGCATTGTTCTCTTTCTTTTGGAAGTGCTTCTGTGTGTTCGTTGGCTGGTTGTCTTTGTTCAGGATAGATGCAAGTATGAAACCACCAGAACTAGATGGTCACAACTACTCTTTCTGGAAGGCTCGTATGGAGATCTATCTCCAAGCACAAGGTACCAGGGTTTATCGTACTGTCCTATCTGGGTGGAGTCGTCCAACTGTTTAGAATGCTGATGGAACCACTAGGGACAAGCCCATGGAGACTTGGACAGACGATGAAATGAATGCATCTGATCTAAACAACAAAGCGTTGAACTCTATTGTAGGATCTCTGCATGAATCTATCTTTACCTTAGTCACAGGGGTAAAAGAAGCTAAACCTGTATCGAAAATTCTTGAAACCAGATTTGAGGAAACTAGTGATATCAAGCAGACAAAGCTACAAATGGTGCTGTCAGAATTTGAAGCTCTTAGAATGAATGAAGAGGAAACCATATCAGGCTTTCACAGTCGGGTTCAGAATCTGATGAACAGGGCCTCAAAATTCTTGGTGAACCATTCACTAATGAGGGAGTAGTAAAAAAGATCCTTCGATCTTTACCTAAACGCTTCCGGATGAAAGTAACTACTATTCAGGAACACACCGGCTGGGAAAAGAAGACTGAAGGAGATCTTATGGGAAGTTTACACACATATGAACTTGAAGTGCTTGCTGATGATGATCTTGTTGGCAACAGAAAAGGAAAGTCAGTGGCTTTTGTGGCTAAAGCTGATCGAGAATCTGACACAGATGACATAGATGATGAAACCTTGGCTCTTCTAACCAATAATTTTAAGAAAATATTGAAAGGATTTAACAAAAACAATCAAGGTCAGCCTACCAAGACACAATACAAAGGCAATAACTCCTCATATTAGAAAGCCGAAACCTCACCTTTTTCACAGAACAATCAACCCCAGACTGGCCGAACAAGACAAAACAGAAACAGTTCCACAGATACAGGGAGATCTCTCAACCGGTCAGTGCAGTGTAGATTGTGTGAAGGTTTTGGACACATACAGGCTAAATGTGCAACGTATCTTAAGAGGAAAAAGGCTATGTCAGTGGCTACACTAAGTGATGATGAGGAGGAAGCATCTAATGATCAGTGAGATGATAATGTGGGAAACTTTGTAGCCTTCTTTACAGCCACAGAGAATCAGTCAGACAGAAATGAATCAGATGGAGAATCTTATATATCAACAGATGATTTTGAAGAGAGGCATACTCAACTTGAAATGGAATTTGCTAAACTTGTTGCAAGTTGGGAACAACTAGTGAAAGTAAAAAAAAAAAAATCTGAATGACGAGCTGAAGCAAAGGGATGATCTTCTGAAAAAACTAAATACAGATCTTGTGATAAAAGAAGATCTAATCACACAGATAAGATCCAGAGAAGGAAAACTGATAAAGAAATTGGAAGGTCTGAAGAAAAATATCCAGATGATGGACACCACATCAACATTAAACAAAATTTTGGACTCTTGTAGAAATCCGAATGATAAAAAGGGTCTAGGATTTAAACGAGGTGAATCTTCGAATAATGCTCCTATGTTTGTCAAAGAGGGTATGTCTACGGCCACAACAATTCACAGGTTTGAACAAGGACAGTCATCCCGGTCAGTTCAGAAACATGATAAGAGAAAGATATATGATCGAACTGCAGATACTGACTTCGGAAAAGTAACTCATCAATCTCATTATTCAAGGTTCAAAAATAAGTTTGTCAGAGTTAGACAATACACTCCCATTTGCCACTACTGTCAAACAAAAGATCACACTCGGCCTGAGTGTTATTTTTTCTACAGAGATCAAAGGAAGGAAAAATATCAGAACAAGACTATTATATCGTTCACTAGACAGGTTTGGGTCAGAAAGTCAGAAGTTATATGCTACCCCACTATAGTTCAGACTGCATCTACGACTGAAGCTAGATGGTATTTCGATAGTGGCTGTTCCAGGCATATGACTGGAAATGTGAAGTGTCTCATGGATGTTCAACCAAGCAGTGGATCTGTTACATATGGCGACGGGCAAAAAGGGAAAATAGTTGGAAAGGTACCCTGAATGTACCAGGTTTACCTCACTTAGAAGAGGTTCTGTTAGTCAGTGGTTTGAAAGAAAATTTGATCAGCATCAGTCAGTTGTGTGATCAAAACTAGAATGTGTGCTTCGATCGTATCTGCTGCAGAGTTAGTGACAAAGCAGATCAACTTGCCATGGAAGGAACATGATCCTCAGACAACTGTTATCTTTTGGCAAACGAAAATGCTTGTCACCTATCTAAATCCGATGAATCAAAACTCTGGCATAGACGACTGGGTCACATAAACTTTAGAGATATGGATAAGCTTATCAAATTAGAAGCTGTGAAAGGAGTACCTAAGATCATAATAGAACTGGAGAGAGTTTATGGTGCATATGCTATTGGAAAACAAATTAGAACTCCGCACAAAGCCATAAGAGTTATCACTACTGAGAAATGTCTAGAGCTTGTTCACATAGACCTCATTGGGCCAACACAGGCTGAAAGCATTAGTGGAAAGAAATACATATTTGTGTGTATAGATGATTTCTCTCAATACAGCTGGGTGTACTTCCTAAGAGAAAAATCTGAAGCCTTCAAGGCTTTTAAAACCTTGTGCATAAGGGTTCAAAAGGAAAAGAACGAACCTATAATAAAAATTCAGAGACTGAGAAGTGATCATGGAAAAGAATTTGAGAATTCACAATACTCATATTTTTGCTCCGAGCACGGTATATCACATGAGTTCTCAGCTCCTAGAACAGATCAACAGAATGCTGTGGTGGAAAGAAAGAATCGAACCTTGCAGGAAATGGCTAGAGTTATGTTACATGCTTCTCATCTGCCGCAGCGCTTCTGGGCTGAAGCAATTCACACAGCTTGTCATACAGTGAATAGAGTCTATCTTAGGCCAAGAATGACCACAACACCATATGAGATCTGGAAGGGAAAGAAGCCAAACCTAAAGTACTTTCATGTGTTTGGGACGAAGTGTTATGTGCTGATTGATAGGGAACAAAGAGGGAAGTTTGAACCTAAGAGTGATGAGAGCATCTTTTTTGGGTACTCTCCAAATAGTCGTGCCTACAGAGTCTACAACAAGAGAACTCAATCTGTAATAGAATCAGTAAATGTTGTTATAGACGACAGTCCAGACGAATCAGTGGAAACAATAGTGACTGATCTAGTGACTGAGCTTCCTCTCGGTGAACTGAATACTGCAGATAATAACAGTCAGCCCAAATCACAAGAATCCTTAGATGAAGATCAAGAAAGTTCTGAACAGGAGACAACTCTTATAAATGATACAGGTAAAGACAAACCCACCAGAACTCAGAAAAATTATCCATCAGATAACATCATTGGTGATCCAACAGACGGGATGAAGACCAGGAGCAGAATAAGAAATAATCTGATAGAAATATCTGGATCTGCTTGCTATACCTCAAAGATAGAACCAAGGAATGTAAAAGAAACTTTACAGGATGATCTGTGGATGAAAGCAATCCAAGAGGAGCTACATCAGTTTGACCGAAATCATGTTTGGGATCTAGTACCAAGACCTGATCGTGTCAACATAATTGGAACAAAGTGGATCTTCAAAAATAAAACAGATGAAGCTGGGAATATTGCAAGGAACAAAGCTTGGTTAGTGGCACAAGGATACACTCAGATAGAAGGAATTGACTGTGATGAAACGTTTGATCCTGTGGCGAGACTAGAGTCAATCAGAATTCTGTTAGCTGTCGCATGCATTCTGGGATTCACACTGTTTCAGATGGATGTTAAGACAGCATTTTTGAATGGATATCTGCATGAAGATATCTATGTGGCACAACCTAAGGGATTTGAAGATCCAGAACATCCATCACATGTCTACAAGCTCATAAAAGCTCTCTATGGCCTTAAACAATCCCCACGGGCATGGTATGAACGCCTGACACAGTATCTGCTACAGCAGGGTTATAAACGAGGAAGTGTTGACAAAACATTGTTCGTAAAAACCACTGGAAGTCATGTCACCATTGCTCAGATCTACGTGGATGACATTGTGTTTGGATCAACTTTACAGAAATACACAGATGAGTTAGTAAAAGTCATGGAGGAAGAATTTGAGATGTCCATGGTTGGTCAACTGACGTATTTCCTAGGACTGCAAGTTAAGAAAAGTCCTGAAGGGTACTTTATCTCACAAGAAAAGTATGCGTAAACCAAGACACCGATCTCCACCTCCACAAAAGTATCCAAAGACGATGACACAGGTGTATCAGTGGATAACACAGTCTACCGAAGTTTAATAGGAAGTCTGTTGTACCTGACGGCTAGTCAACCAGACATAATGTTCAGTGTTGGTTTATCTGCAAGGTATCAATCTGATCCAAAAGAATCACACCTCATACTGCTAAACGAATTCTGAAATATATAAAAGGAACGATTAAATATGGACTATGGTACTCCAAGGACAGTGAACTGAGTCTGGTTGCATACTCTGATGCTGACTGGGCAGGAAATATTGATGGCCGCAAGAGTACATCTGGTGGATGCTTCTTTGTTGGTAAGAACTTGGTATCGTCGCTGATTAAGAAACAAAATTTAATTTCCTTAAGTACTGCAGAAGCAGAGTACATAGCTGCTGGTGGATGTTGTACTCAGTTAATGTGGATGAAACAGATGCTTTTAGATTATGGGCTTACTCAAGGAATTATGACACTCTACTGTGATAATGTCAGTGCAATCAATATCTCAAAGAATCCAGTTCAACACTCCAGAATGAAGCATATTGATACAAGGCATTACTACATCAGAGACTTGGTAAAATCGAAGGAGATTGAGTTGGAATATATTCATACAGATAAACAATTGGCTGATATTCTGGCTAAACCTCTAGATTCAATTCAATTTGAGATTCTCAGATCTGCTCTGGGAATCTGCAGGATTGACTAATAAGGCAGATAGTCATTCAGAAGGAGAGTGCATGATTTTCGTATACCGGTCAAATTTCAGTTTTGACTTCCTTTTAAAACTCCCTTCTATTTGTTAAGAGAATATCTTAACTTAAATTACCATAAAGTGATTAGGCTTTTTCAAATTTCAAATATGCCTAGCATCCGTTTCTTGCCTAAAAAGGAGGTATAGCATTGCGTCAATCACATCGGCTCTGCATGTATTCTGACTAGCTGCATTTATTGTGGTTCCTCTCCCTTGGGTTTATAATCGATTACCGGGTCAGGCTTGTGAGGACAAAGGAGTTAAAAAAAAAATTATCTCTGCACACCGTTTGTATCCTCTTTGATCTCATATCTAGGGTTTGCTTCTTTGATTTTTCAAATCTCTTACCAATGGCGGATGCAATTCGTAATATTATCATCAAGCTTGGGAGAAGGTTCATTCACAAGAGACAGCCACCAAACATGTCAAAACTTTGCTCCAGTTGGCTATAAAGAAAAATTTGAAGCTTGATCCTCTTCTCCGCGATGAAATCTTTGTCACGGTGCTGTCCGACTACCCAGAGTTCTTCGTAGACTGGTCCGACGATGACACTAGTGAACTCTTGTTGCTGGGCTCCGAAGCAAGTGATGAAGTTTGTAACACCCCGTGTTACGATCCCTAAAACCGATTAAACATTTAACAAATTACCCAAAAGAAGGAATTAAATCACAATAATTAATTAGGAATAGAATTAGCAAGCCTATAATATTAGTTTCTAACCAGGACTCGTAAATATATATATAGGGGACTTAAGAGGCACCTAGAACCCCCCACCACGATAAACGACTCACCACCCCAAAGAGCTCCAAGAATTCCCTTAGAAGAAATCAAGAAAGCAAGAAAGCTTAAAGAAAGACCCTTCATAGCCAAGGAATTAATTAAGGCTAAGAGGTAACCCATGTCTCAACAAAACCTATTTTCATAGCTATGATTTCCCCCGTAGGATTTCCCCATATTATTGTGTATTGATGATTTGTGATATTATTATTGATGATTGATGGGATAATTCCATGGGTGATCTTGATTATGAAAGGTTCTTGATAATTATGGTGTTCTTGATGATTATATGACGTTCTTGATGATTATATGATGTTCTTGATGATTGTAGGATGTTCTTGATGTTTATATGATATTCTTACCGAATCTTGATATTAAAAGATGAATTGTGTCCTTGTTGATTTAAAAATGATTAGAACCCTAGGTTGCATCGTATGGAATTATTATTGGTATATTGGGTGGGAATTCGCATGATTGGGTGTTGATTATGTTTAGAAAAGCATGATAGGTTATGTGTCATATGTTTCTCGATCTTTGATCCGTTAATTGTCTACATGTGTTATCAATTGCGTTTGAAAGTGTCTAAGCATGGTTTCAGGTTCCACAAAGGTTCCCGGGGCGTTTTTGGTGAAAAAGAGTCGGTGGGGGGTAGATGGGGGTAGGGGACCCGCCACCTACCCGCGGCCTTCTTGGGCAACGCCGGCAGCGGGCAGCCGGCGGGTGAATCCTCACCCACCGGCTACCCGTTGGTTTGGACCCCACTTTGGGATTTTGGCTTCCCCGTTTGATGTTCCCCCAACCCCCGTGGTTTCCCAATGGACTCCGTCTATCGTGCCTATGTCTAGTTTGATATTTCGGGTACCGTTCGTAGGTTGTATGAGCCTTATATATTGCATGCTAGTTGAATTGGTATCCCGTTGACCTAGGTGAAAGAAGTATGAACCCCTTAGGATTATTCTTAGTACGTGAAGGATCACGCATAGGTTTTGTTATACGTTTCCTCCCCCTTCCCAATGTGCTAATGTGGGTTGCATGTGCTTGCTATATATTATGTGTGCATGATACCCCAATTCGGTTGCGATCGGATTGGTTATTCCTGAGCTGCGGTTCAGAAGCTGGCTGCGGTCAGATTTATACTCTTAGGCTACGGTCCACCGTTTGGTTGCGATCAAACGTTTCTACATGAGCTGCGGTTCATATTTCCTGGCTGCGGTCAGATGACATACTCTTGGGCTGCAGTCCACTGTTTGGTTGCGATCAAACACTATGATGAGCTGCGGTTCATGGGACGGTTGCTATCGACCCCTCCGTGTTGCGATACGGGGCAGGGTGCTGCGGGGCCGTGTCAGAGCTATATGCGCTGACCCTCATGTATGGACATGCGATTGGTCCTGTGGCGCCAACAAAGTGTGCTATGTGATGAGATATGGAGGAGTTGTTGTTATGAGTGCCTTGGGGATGTGACTATGGGATCCATATTGGGAATCGTATATGTTGGGTTATGACTATTAATTGTGCCTATCTTATCTGTCTTGCCTTTTGTAAACTGCATATGCTTGGTATAACTGCTGTCTGTGCTTAGCCCTATATGTGGAGTCTTTCCCTGTTTTAAAAGCTAGAGTTCGTAGAATATATCTTCATGCTCAAAATGGTTTTCGTATATCTATATATATATCTATATGTACTGTATTTGAACGCGTTGGTGTGGGTTACCAGCATCTCTCGCTGAACATATATATTTGGCTTTCAGGCACAGACGAGTAGATCACTGTAGCGCGTTAGAAGCTTGGGGCGTAGCTTCGATAGTTTTCCCTTTCGGCCTGCGTGCCATGATTTAGTATTGATACTGATTGAGGTTTAAGAATTTAGCCTGTGCACCCGAGTTCTCTAGCTCGGGTGTGGCATAGCACCCCGTACTCTCTGTATCGTATTTTGGGATTTAATGAGATTCTATCTTTATTATATAAGTTTTAAAAGTCTTGAAAATCTGGGGTGTTACAGTTGGTATCAGAGCCTAAGTTTGACCCTAGGATAAGACTCTTGAAACCGGACTTTAGGACGTTAGGCTTGAACTCTAGGTATTTAGGAACATAGGACTAGGGAATTTTAGGACGCGTAGTGAGATTGTGAAACCTACACATAAACCCCCTCACTTCATTCCTTCCTTGTCTAAAGAAAACCTTCCTCCACTTATCGCGTCAAAGAAGGACACCAAGCTCTATTTTAATATTCTTATAAACATTGACTCAGAAAGACGACAGCATGGCACCCAACAGAAGACAATCATGGACTCCAGAACCCACCACACACGACCCCCTGACCCAAACACTACAACAACTAACGCAAGTCGCCCAGGCACTAAGCAACGTAGCTCTTCGCAACAACAGGCCCCCGCCTCCTCCATCGAACACGAACTCAGACGTCGCTCGACAAGTTTCGAATCATCGACCACCCACGTTCTCAGGAGAAGAGGACCCCGTGATCCTGGAGGAATGGATCCGGACCCTCGACAAAATCCTCGGGTTAGTGGAATGCCCAGAAGAACGCCGTGTAGAGGTAGCCTCGTTCTACTTCGGACATGAAGCCGATCTTTGGTGGATCCACGAGGGTCCCGCTTACCAACATGAACCAGGGTTCAATTGGGAAGACCTCAAAACACGACTACGAGAACGATTCTACCCAACACATGTAAAGTCATCCATGTACGAAGAATTCCTTCATCTAAAGCAAGGGACAGCCACCGTCATGGAATACCACAAGCGATTCCTTCAACTAGCGCGCTTCGCACCAAAGCTAGTCCCCACCGAAGTAACAAAAATAGAAAGATTCGTCTCGGGCCTCAACTTCGAAGCCCGAAAAGCACTAGTGGTAAGCAGACCTCGGACACTCAACGAGGCTTACTCCAGTGCCGCCAATCTCTATCGAATCCAACTACTCCAGCGCGGGGTTCAGGAACAGATACGAAAAAGGAACACCAGAGGGGGAGCACCACCGGTAAAAAGAACGAGGAACGACACCAACACAAGACCAAACAACCTGACCAACCAAAGACCGCCCCTAGGGAATAATCAAGCAAACCCAAGAAGCTTCCCTTGCCCGAAATGCAACAAAAGCCATAGAGGAAAAGATTGCATGGGCAATCCCTGGCGATGCTTCAACTGCGGAGAAGAAGGGCACAAGGCCTTCCAGTGCACTCAACCCCAAAGGCCACGCCCCACCACCACAGGTCAACACGGAGGCACCACCCACCAAGGGAACTACGGCGCTCCCGGGAAAATATTCGTCATGAGCCGCACTCAAGCCGACCTCGGGAACGAGGGCAACCCCGTGGATGGGAACTTAACCCCAGAAGACGAGGACCACGCAAACCCCGCGGGAGAAAACCAAGAAGACGAATTCTGTCTGGGATAAACCAGCAATTCCTTGTAATCACCTTCATAGTGAAACTACTTATTTAGCGATTACTTCGGAATTATTATAAATAAAAGATTCGATCGAAATTCGATCCTGCTTATAAAGATGAAACCAAAAATTATATAACAAGCCAAGCCTCCCATCACTACAAGACGAAAGAGGAAAAAAACAAGGACCACACCATCATGAAAGGCCTACTGTTACTAATGGGAATTGAACCCTTAACCTCCCACTCACAAGACCAAGGTCTTGACCATTAGACTAAGGGTGTTTCTTGAAACCTTAAGGGAACACTCCCTTGTTAAAGCTTCTACAAATCCCTAAAACCCACAAAATCCCCAAATCAAAAAACCCTTCTTCTTCCTCTTCTTCTTTTTCTTCTTCTCCCCCACTTTCTCCCCTTCCCTCTCCTACACACCTCCCCGCCACCCCAAACACCGAACCAGCAGCCCCATTCGACCGCCGCCCACGGCCGGAGCCGCCATCGACCGCCCAGACGGCGCCCTACCGCACGCCGACCTCACCGCCGGAGGACGCCCGCGACGCCATCGCCGCCCGCCACCTGCCCGAGCTCCACCCGCTGCCACCGCTGCCCGACGCCACCGAAAACCACCGCCCCACCTCGCCAAGCCAACGCCGGAGTCCAGTCGTCGCCGCCTCCCTCGCAACAGGGCCGCACCGCCAAAGACCGCCGGAAAAACGCGCCGGAGCCTCGCTGGAAAGTCGTCGGAAAAACTCACCGGAAAACGGCACCATCGAGCGAA